AACGGAGGGCGGAGGAACGACGCTCACAATAACGAGCGGAGCGCCGGGTGGCTAAAGCACAGCAAGTTGGCACAGTAGGGGGCACAAGTGGTGCATCAGCCAGTCGTCTCAGTCAGTCGACCTGTGGCATCTGGGTCTGCCCTTTGACCTCCTCCCAGCGGGCGTTTGACACTTCACGTGGCCTCAAGGTGCACATAGCCTGGCACAAGCGTCGTGGTAACGTCACCGCCACTTAGTGGTGAATGGCGGTTGTTGTTGTTGGAGCGGTAGTGTAGCGGTGAGTGCGCTGCTCTACGAACCTGGCGACCTGGGTTCGATTCCCGCTCACGGCCAACACCAATGACGATTATCTGAACTGGTCCTGGGCCTCCCCTAGGTCGACCCAGCCTCAAATGAGTACCTGGTGCGGTGTGTAGTAAACATCGTCACTAGGGAGACAAAGGCAGCCGGGCGTGGTGTTTGCCACCCACCCATAGTGTGCCGTGCCCGCCTTCATAGGTGCTCGCTAACAGCACTTGTCCCAACAGTCTGTTAAAGGCTACATGGGGGATCTTTGTATTTTTGTTTTTGTAGCCGGGGTCGCCTAGAGATTGTGACGCTCACTCCCGGGACACACCGTGCGGATATCATCGGTGTGACTCTCATCTGCATGAATTTTATGTCAGGAATTGCCATGGCACTGTTTGTTGTGAAGCAGGCATTAACAAAAACAACCAAGACATATTTCTCCATATTAGAAGATGCACCCTCCACCGCCCCCATCTGTAAATGAAAGTAAAAATTGAGTGCGTCTTATGATCTGGGTAGCTGTATGTATGTAACCAGGTTTAAGAAACTTAATTTACACTGGGCATAGGTCAGAGGATTGACTTACTTTACAAAGAATCTTATAATCCACAGGATACAATAACAAAATTTGTATGACTACGGTAATCAAAATACATTATTTAAAAAAGGTCATTATTTTGTCACTACATTACGTAGAATGCAGTTACATCGTACTGTGCCAGAGTGCTTTATCTTACATTCAGTCCAGTTCGGGTCAGAGGTCAAATTGGTCCATCATCCGTGCAGGGGTGATACAAATGAGTAGCAGCACTTGGTGATGTTAACCGTGGTTTGTACTATGGAGAGCCTTGTTCCCAGCATAAGAATGTGGAATTTTCATCACTGGCCAAAGGGTATCTAAGTGAAGATGAGCATCACCTTGCAATTAATTTGCATTTTACATTTTACTTAACATTTTGAACTAACAATAAAATGCATTTTTCTTTGTTATCAATAAAGACACTCGTTCGCTAGCCTGAGTTTACCATTAGATGGTCGTGGGAATTAATTAACTTTAAGACCAGCTAAAAATTCTGAGCTACGTGAACATAAATTAAGTTTAATCCAAATGCAATTAACGCACAACACAATGTGTCCTTGTGTTCGGGCAATTAGATTCACCATATATGGGTTTATCTTGGATTTTTAGATTAGGGTATACACTGTACCTTTCCTAATCGCCTGCTCTTACAGCTTTTAAATATTTTTAGCAAGACAATTAACAATTAACATTAGGAGGCATGATAATATGAAGCCGCTTAGAGCTGTGCACTTCACAGGCACTCCCCAATCAAACATTAACATGTATTTTCGTGACATTTTGAAGCAGCATTGTCCAATGTGTTGACTCAATAAAGACCAGGCCAGAGTTAGGGCCTTAGGCAGAAGGAGTTCATTTCAGTGGACTGATTGTATAAAATTCGCTCAGAATCTTTAAAAATATAACCGAATATTTCTAAATATTGCCGATATTTCAAAACAACATAGATAATCGCTAATTTCATCCCCTTATGTAACAAGTTTGAACACCATTTCCATCAACAAGGGGAGCAGCTAACGCTGCCAAATTTCTGGGAGGCTCAGTCTGGTAAGAATATAGGTGTTGGAGTGGAGATCATGGATGAGAGCCTGCACATGGCCGAAAATGAAAAGCGGCTTAGGCGACACCACAATCTGAGAAGGTCCCGATGGAGAGGCACGAGAGTATCCGAGTTGTGGGAGGATCTGGCTATTCGAGGGTCGGGCTGCTTAGCCAACAAGGAGCTGCACCCTGACACACTGAGCAACGGGCGTGGTGGAGCAGTCATTTAATACGGTGGACAACAGTGACGAAGATTGAGCTGTGAGACATCCAAAGAGATGTCAGAATCAAAATTGATTGTTCCTCCATCTGTGCAGAGTTTTGAGGGTTACCCCCTTGTCACTTTCTGACTTGCCCCTACTGGATATCTGTTAAAAAGAGCTTCATAGCTCATCGGATTTGCCCTGGACTTACAAAGATTCTGATTATTATTGTAAGTATGCCAAACACTGTAGTAAGTGGCTAAGCAATAAAATAGTTCTCTCCTGAAAGAGACTTGAGACTTAGTAAGGCACTCCTGGATAAATAACTGTCCACATTTTTACTTGCTGTACTTCCTCCTACAGACATTTAATTAGCCTGCAGTGAGACATCTCGACCATATACATGTGTGGTCCACGAACCCGACCTTCAAGTCTGGATTACACAATAGGTTTTGGAGAAATAAATTGTAATGATTTTTACGGCCATGGTTAAAAGTGTTGACAATGTTTGTGCTTGTAGAATTAGTTAAAGCCAAAGTACATGTATGGTAATGTGACAAAAATTATATAATTACAGGTTCGTGCTGGAGCAAAGCACGCACACAAGAACGCTCTGATATGTTTTTGGGTTGTTCTGCGTGTTGTTTAGCATTATGCCCGACGTTTCCTGAATAATCCCCTCACTAAAGAAGCTTCGAGCGCAGGGAGCAAAACGTCACGCATTATGCGGAACATCACACGGTACAACCCGAAAACACATCAGAGAGCCGCGCAGCACGACGTGAAAAGCTTTTGCAAAAGTTACAACTCGTTCCGCGCCATGATGAATGTGGTGTTCTCTGGAGAAGCATCAATATTTCACGGAGCAAAAGATAACAACTTGGATTTTTTTATTACATTAATTTTACGGATCGCAACTGGTTGATGGCACGATTAACACGAACAAAGTTCCATAGAGGGAAAAACATATCTACAACCCAAAATCAGAGTTATTTTTCAAATTGTTACGTAAATGACAGTTCCCCATTCCACAGTCCTCCTTGTTCGTTTCACATCCGCTCAAGGGGCTAAAGAGAGTATTTTCCGCCTGTAATACAGCAACTGAAGGTGGTATTTTATACGTTACCTCCTGCTTTTGGGAAGTTGCTGCCGTGCGTGAAACGTGCGTAATAATGATAAAGAGACATCACCTATGTTTAACCATTACACCGTGGCGGTGGGCAGACTGCAGTTATACTTGTGAGCCTTCCACAAATCATGACCCAGGTGCTGACAAGGTTTTTTTGACAGGAGACATATTACAGGTGTGAAACCTGTCAGCTTTCTCCAGCAGTCTGTGAAAATAACAATAAGAATTGTTATCACATCTATTTACAGTAAAGGGGTGATTAGCACATCACAGTCCTTTGTTATTCACTGCTGAATGAAGGCTTCCTCACTCTGTGATATATCTAAAATTTAATGTTTAAATACTGCCAGTAACAAAACCAAAATATAAAAAAATAACTTTTGACAAATAAAACTAAATACTGAATGTAAAAATAATAAAAATCACTTCCATTAAAAGCCATAATGGCTTGCTTCCAAAAGTTGACAGGCCTTTACTGGAAATAGTAAAATACCATGAAACAGTTTTTATTTTCATATAAATGTTGAAATATTTACAAGGGCACTAAAAATGTGATTCTTATCTTCACGCACACATTCCAGAGAGTGGGAGAAGAGGCAATAGCCAAGAATGTAAAAACACTGGGCACAAATTCCCCGCGCGTGTGACCTCGTGCGAGCTGCTGCAATTACAGCAGAGTCCATTTTTGGTTAAAACTTTAAATGTTATATTTTTTCCTCTTGGCAGCCCAGAGGTTGTGCCTGCAGTCGTCTTTCATGTATTTACGGACGTACTTTGATCCTCTTTATGTGTGTATGTTGAACGAGGCGCTTGTAAACATCTCATCGACACACTCTAGCAATGCACGCAATGTCTGCTTCACGCTGTTGTAAGGCTGGTGGCAGAGTAGCCGTTGCAGTCAACATTCGGCTCTCAAACGTGCCCAGATAGGGCACTCGTCATGTTCACTAAATACGTAGCGGAGGCACGAATGATTGTCCATGTACGTATGCATTCTGCCATGGGGGTGCAGGGTTCAATATGTATGTTGAACTTCTTTCACACCGTACGTATCCAACCGTGCTAATCGGAGGTGCGGCGGGAAGGACTACAAACGAAACACAAAGAAACTGTATTAAGAAAACGAGTTTTCCATCTAGATTTAAAAGTGAATAGCTCCAGTGGCTTCCTGATAGAACATTCCAGACGTCCAACAGAAACGCATCTGAACGCGTGCGATGCGGTAACTGTCTTTGTTCGCTGGCTAGCCAAAAGCCGCTACTGCAAGGATGAGCGGAGTTCGCGTGATGGTTTAACTTCACCTGGAGGTTGTGCTGCCTGGCATGAGACTTGCATTATTACACGATACATGGCTATTTTTATTTACATGTGGTATACTTTACGTGAATGTCTTCGGGTTCATACAAGTACCGGAAAACAGTGCTCATTTCATATTGTAGTCAGTGGTGGAAATTCCACGTTCCAATAATGAGCACAGGTCTGTCCTAAGAATGACCACTTTTGGACTGCCACAGAGTAGTACTTATGCTATTGACCATAAAGGGATGGTGGTCTGAGTGGACCTCGCCTGTTGGATTTGAATAAACTGCTTGTCCAATTGTGGGTGGAATGCTCAACCAACACCCTACACCTGGCTAATATGTATAAATGTATTCACTTCCAGTCTGTACATTTAATTAGCAGAAACGTAGTGTTTGTGTATGTGCACTCAGAATTAGCTACGAGTATTAGATCGGCTATGGTCACATTAACGTTTGTGATTTTTGACCCTGCAGAACACCAACGGCAATTGGTTTATTCGCCACCCCTGGGCCTCCTCGCGGCAAATCTAATCAAATCTAACACCTGCTAGAGTGAAGGTATCAATACCAGTACCACACCATCTCATTTGCGCTATGCTGACCTAAACAGGTCATTACTAAACGCGTGTTCACTTGCATACAGGGTTTAAAGCAAAAGGGCGATTTGGATGTATAAACCCGTGTGTGCCTTTGCACGTGACTAGCACGGTTGGATACGTACGGTGCGAAATAAGTTCAGCATACATATACACAAGTGTGTGTGTGGTAAGAAATCACTGATCAAACACCAAAGTCAATCACTCAGACACAAAGTTAAGGGGTCCTATCTTATATTCCCGTTCACATCATTTGCAAGCGTACACAAAGAAGTGTCTCCATTCAGCAAGTCCTCTGTCCACCCCAAGAGTGAACGGACAAGGGACATGGCTGTAAGTTGGTTTAATGGTGCACTCATAGCTGGGAAAAGTGTGTGTGCCTCCATCTCTTCCAAAGCCCCTGGCTGGTCTTTGCTGAAGCCCCTTTGTAAAGAGTAACGGACTCTCTCCTGCAGCGCTTAAGTGCCGTGCTAACTTGTGCTAAGGCATAGAAGAAGTGAACGCGTAAAAAAATCACCGCTTAAATGCACGCATATATACACGGCAATTGTGAAGTCGATTTAAGCCTACAGTAAGAACATGTCATCATTAAGTATAGCTGGCTACGTACGTTGCCAAATAAGTTCAACATACGTACATTTATTTTTAAAAAAAACTTTTAAATAAAATTTATATTCCTGATACTATTCTCTGTGTGCCAAAACTTAGGTGTGGAGTTGAGTTTTCACTTTCGTAGAAATTGATCAACTACGATTTTACTTTAAACGCCACCGTTTCCCGGGCACGATCTCTTAATTGACTGAACAACTTCGTACGGCTTTAGCATGGAGGGCACTATAGACAAAAAACGTGTGCCCCCTACGCGGCTACAAACGGCCTTCTCCACCTTCGAGTGCCCCTCTGTTTATTAATCCTCTGGCGCTCCACCAAATTACACGGCTGTCTAAACATTTACGTCAGCAAATTGACACGCGCGTGTGATGGTCGCCGGATGGAGAGCATTCCTGTACAGGGGGTTATTTACGGAGAGCTTACGAGCGTTCAATGGCGTTCCACGGTGCGATCCGTGGCCACTGCCAGTGACGCTCAGAGCGATGACCTCATCTGCCAGCCTTATTAGGAACCAGGCAGTATATGAACCCAGATCCTTGCACGAAAACGACGTTTGCCGCGGTAGTTCCCAGTGTGAGCAGGCGCTTCTGCTCCCCGCAGCCACCAGCCCTCACCCCGCCACCGCCCGTGGCTTTTACTCATTTCTTCTTGGGGACTTCGAACGGATCTTGCCGAACGGGAGGGGGGGGGGGTAGAAATAAATCTCGCGCTTCCTGCTCTCTCTTTTTGGCGGGCACTGCGATCATCCCAGTCCTGAAAGATGCTGCTCGATTGCTAGCCGCTGCCATCCCAACGACGACAACACAAACGCGCGCGCATTCACGCACACACGCACGCACACACACGGGAGAGCACCTCTTGTCTGGACCGTGCACACGGGGGGGGGGGGGGGGGAGGAGGAGAACCAACTCACCTCACAGCAGCCACGTCGGTTCGCGAGACTCTCGCGCTGGCCATGTCGTTCGGGTACCGCAAAGAGCTGGACAAGTACGAGGAGGTGGACGAGGATGAGCTCCTGGCTGCGCTCTCGCCCGAGGAGCTGCGGGAGCTCGAGCGCGAGCTGGACAGCATCGACCCCGATGAGTCTCTGCCCCTGGGCCACAGGCAGAAAAGCGCGACCAACAAAGCACCGACCGGCAACTACAGCCGCAAGGGCCTCCTCACCTACTGGGAGAAGGAGACCAAGAAGATGCTGGAGGAGGAGCACCTCCCCGCGTCGTTGCTCGATGGACAGGTGAGCCGCTCGCGAAGCCCCTCGGCGCGGCTGCTCGTCCGACCGGGGTGAGACGTCGCGTCGGGAGATGACATGAAAATCTCTCTCTCTCGAGCGAGAGAGAGAGGGGTTTCAGTCGTGTGTTTTTTTTAAAGGAGCTCAAACGAACGTTTCGACGTTCACTTTCAAAGGTAAAGAAGTCACCATGCTTAAATTGAGTGAGCTTAAACGAACGTTTTGACGTTCACTTCAAAGGTAAAGAAGTCACCATGCTTAAATTGAGTGAGCTTAAACGAACGTTTTGACGTTCACTTCAAAGGTAAAGAAGTCACCATGCTTAAATTGAGTGAGATTAAACGAACGTTTCGACGTTCACTTTCAAAGGTAAAGAAGTCACCATGCTTAAATTGAGTGAGCTTAAACGAACGTTTTGACGTTCACTTTCAAAGGTAAAGATGTCACCATGCTTAAATTGAGTGAGCTTAAACGAACGTTTTGACGTTCACTTTCAAAGGTAAAGAAGTCACCATGCTTAAATTGAGTGAGCTTAAACGAACGTTTTGACGTTCACTTTCAAAGGTAAAGAAGTCACCATGCTTACATTGAGTGTGCAGCGGTGCTTGTTTCTGTTCGCGATGGGAATTCCACACTCTGATCACCGCGACCGTTCTTGCCAATGGACAACTACTGTCCTCAAAATGGCACTGGTTTTACCAACCACAAAGGGATTCGAAGTCGTACCCATTCTGATTGCGAGTCAAGGATTCTGGATCACCCAGCTGCCTTTGTATCGTCTAATTACGAATACTTTTCAAGTGTCATTTAGCGATAAGAAACGAGCACGTGCCGGTAAATCACATGGCAGAGTCTTTAATGTGCTCTGCGCTGAAGTTTGCACACTTTGGTTATTCCCTGCAGATATTGTTAGCTGGAAAAAGAAGGAAGCTAGCTGCTAACTCCTATAGCCTGCCAATCACTGAACTATCCAGTGACCATATAAGGGAGAGTACATTGTTTTGTTTGAAACACGGGGCATGAAATGTACACTGAGGAATGTGGCCTGACATTTCCGAGGCGTTAACATCGAGTATTAATGTGCACATTTGTTTGATATATATATTACTTTAAAGGATAGATGGAGATTAAATATATACCCGACACCATATGCGTACATTGTGCCATTCGTTTGGTACATTATTCTCAAAACCTTGCAACGACCCCTCATGTATTAAACCAATCCTCAGCCCACATTTGTTTAGCTTTTCCATGTGTGTGTGCTTGTTTACCGGAATGCTTTGGGACATATCAAAAATGCATTTGAGCCAGAATTTGCATTTTAATATTCCGTAGGGTCTCTGTGGGCACAGCTCTCCATGTCATATTTGTTTGGACCGACTATTTGTGTAATAAAAGAGAGTGTGCGTGTGCCGTGCACGTTCAAATATATGGCACGACCGTATATTTAAATTATGTTTGGCCATGTTAGCGAAAAAGGGAATCTAAATATAGTTGACATATATGCATTTGTAAACAGCCAACATGTGTCACATTTGAGCCTGGTTTATTGAATATGGTCCCCTAGCGTGTCAGGCTAAGACATGGCTCAGCTGCTCGCGCAGCAGACATCCCAGTCATGAAATTGCAAATATCAAATCCTGGCCACGGTTGGACTCAGCCAATCACTCTTCTGAATTTCACGTCCATAGTGAGGCTATAGCATTTGGCTGGAGGTAAGCCGAGGTCGTCCAAGAGGAACACTGAACCCCACTCCTGCAAGGTTGAATGTGTTTCATTCGGTTGTTGATCTCTCCTTAACCTGGGTCGTACATATGTATGTTTAACTTCTTTCGCACCGTACGTAGCCAACCGTGCTCATCTCGGAGATGCGGGAAAGGACAGCAAGCTAAACACAAAAAGGGTCACGGGTGAAGGAAGAAGCAACCCAATGGCAGATAGCTCTTATCTCATAGATTTGTAACTAGACTGTCCCCTGACACCCCAACATGAGATCGACGCTTCATCATAAAGAGAATGCTGCTCCTGTGGTGCAACGGTTATATCTCCCAGAGCGGCAGTTTACACATTGGACAGGTTCTTTGAATCGCCCCGCCTCTGTCCATTCAGCGGTATAAATGGGTGCACCGCGGTTAATCGATTGGCAGGTCACGTGTGAGGAGGGGTAAAGTGTGGGTACTCCCGCCTGGAAGAATATGTTGTTTTAAGAAAAATAGAGTGCTAGGGAAGGACTCACGATTATGATGCTGAAGTCCCTTATTGCATGAACGAAGCTCCACACTTGCGTTGAGCAATCCAGAGCACGCGACTTTGCGCATGGGAAAATATGGGCATTAATAAAAGAGACAGTTTCATCTTCTTTGGTTCTTTCGGTAAAGTCACGTAGAATGAGAATACAATAATAAATTGATAAAATAAAATAACACAATAATATTCTCACGACGTTTCGGCCACAACACAAGCGGCCTTCATCAGGTGAAGGGAGCGAGACTGTCTGGTAGGACAGCACTCCAGCGCTGTCCTACCAGACAGTCTCGCTCCCTTCACCTGATGAAGGCCGCTTGTGTTGTGGCCAAAACGTCGTGAGAATATTATTGTGTTATTTTATTTTATCAATTTATTATTGTATTCTCATTCTACGTGACTTTACCGAAATAACCAAAGAAGATGAATCATTGCAGTCACGAAAGCTTTAAATCGAAATTTAGACAGTTTCATGTTTTCTTTTTTTGTAAAAGATCAAAGTATATAACGAATGTGCGTCGAAGATGTCCAACTGCATTGTACATATGGGTGCGAAATGACCGGGATCTCATCTCGTCCATTTGGTAAACAGAATATGACACAATTTTACTCCCCGTGTCTATGTTTACATGTAATGTCTAAAAGTTTGAGAAATGTTCCATTCGGTGTTCACAACAGAGTCCCTTCCCTCACCCCCATGCTTTAACAGTGCACAAAATAAATAACACGTGAGTGATGCACCTAGAATATAATCCCCGCACCCAATGGTGGAGCCAGGATTTTCAGGTAGAGGGGGCAACCCCTCCAGCAATGAAAAATTATAGAGGAGTTGTTCGTAAGTAAGGACTTGTCCCTTGCTTTTTATTCGACGTGTGTGTGGCGATGGCACAGCCATCGATCGAGGGTCGAATTCGAACCATGTGTGATCGGCATCGCGCTCGCTGAAGGTGTTTGCCTTCAGGGAAGTCGTGTACTCTATACGCAACTGCGCACAATTCTGTGAGACACTTATAACCGCCTTGCCGTTACTTATTGCCAATTATGGACTCAGACTATTGTCCTATCATCTCATAGAGTCCCTGGCACGTAATAATATGCTGCACAGTGGCAGTGGGAGTCGCACAATGCCGATTTATTACTAATAAACCCAAATGATCCCATCGAAATTAGGGATTTCGATCGGATCATTGGGGGGGCACGTGCCACCCACCCCCCCCCCCCCCCCCCCCCCCCCCCCACTGGCTCCGCCAGTGCCTGCACCTCTGATTAGCACGGTTGGCTTATGTACGGTGCGGAAGAAGTTCAACATACAGTACGTTACTACTCATTAGCAATGTAAATGTCCTCAACATCTCCGGTGCACATGCACACTAATGGGGGCGCATGTCAAATACGATTATTGAACAGCACATTTGTCCAGAGTAGGTGCGTGACTGAGCAGCCTCTTTGTCCGTCCACTCAACAGAAAACCCCCTTGCAGTGGGGGCTAACTGCTCACTTCCTGCAAAACATCAAAGTGCCCTCTGCTCCAAAGGAGCAATTTGGTGGCACATCTGCAGTTGTGGCCCTGAGCCAATGGGAAGAAATTCAACACTCGCATGGTGGGAGCCGATCTTACCACGGGATCTATCACCGCATCGCGCGTGTTTCCAGACGCGCTTCTGCGGTCGTCTGGAACGCTCTTACTTCCGATATTAGGAAACCACTGGAGCTATGCACTTTTAAATAATCTGGATTGAAAACGTATTTCTTTAGAACTGTTTTTTTTATGTTTAGTTTGTTGTCTTTCCTCCCCACACCTCTGATTAGCACGGTTGGCTACATACGGTGCAGAAGAAGTTCAATGCACATACATATTGACTTCCCACCGAGTGTTGCTCACCGAATGAATGTTGACTGGGATCTCTAACAGAATCCTTGCTTGCTGGAGCAGAGAGTGTGCGGAGTGGAGTACTGTAGAGTGAGATGGCAGGGGAAAGGTAGGCAGTGGACGAGTGTGTGGAGGACGTTGAAGAATGTGGGAACTCGAAACTGATCTGGGATTGGATTGGGAGCTGGTGAAGGGATCGGAGTATCAGTGGTGATCGATGTGGTCTCGTTTTAGAATCAAAATCTTTATTTATACTGGAGGAATCTGATGAGCGATAAAGCTCTTTTTCACAGATGTCTGGTAAGGGGCAGGTCAGAAAGCTTAAACAAACGATGCAAAAACACCACAGGAGTGCAAAGTATAGGAAAAGTGAGCAAATCGCGAAACAAGCCCACTGAGCTATTAGTTTTGTTTTCAGAAGTGATCTGGCCACAAATTGTAGCTTAACTAAGTGGCTTATCACGTGGACATGTATAGCAGCCAAATAATCGAAATAATATAATGATTAATCTGAAGAGTGTGTGGGAGAGAGGTCTGGCAGGTACATTTTGGATCACCTGGAATTTGGAGACGGGGAAATTGGGGGGGTTGTACAGGCGAAGTTTCAGTGGTTGAGTTGGGGTGGTGGTGAAGGCATTGATGGGGCTCCTAGCGGGCAACTGGGGAGTAAGGAAATCATGGATGCGAGAGATGGTCGGGCACGTGGAGGCATGGGGCGGGGGGGTCATGCACAGCTGATGTGTGGGAAGAGAACGATGATCTCAGGATCGATGACAACTCCACAATTTGGCGCTCACTTTGCCATGGTGGTGATGTCAAAGTTGAGGAGGTGCACGCATGTCCATATGTTGAACTTCTTGTAAACACCCAACATGTGTCAGATGTGAGCCTG